CCCTTTGACCTCTAAAAACTTCCTCATGCCTCAACATCTTTGAAAATGCTCATGCTTTACTATAGCATGTGTATTATCATTGTAATCCCTGCTATCTCACATAAATATCACGAATCTTGATAGTGGCTTGATTTTCTAAGGCAAGAGTACCAGACAGGAGAAACCTACCCACAGAGAGGAGCTGTGGAGATCTGCTCTTTGTTGGATACTCATCTGAACATGTATGAGAGGAAATTCCTCAAGGCCAGGAAAGAACCACCAGGAAACAAGTCCTGGATAGCTATCAGCCTATTCCTCCTGGAAAGATCTCATACTATGCCTGGATTGGGGAAAAGTCTCAGGATAGTGCCTTAATAGTGGAGCAAAACTAGCCCTAAATCATTAATTTTTATATTTTATTTTTGCAATGCTAGGAACTGAACCCAGGACCTGGCACCTGCTAGGAAGTGCTTTACCACTGAGATAACATCCCAGCCCAAACTTTACCCTAAATTAAAGGCTACACTAGAGGCAACATAAGAAAGCTTTAAAGCAAAAACTTGAAAGGACCAAACTGATTGCAAGTAACTTAACTGCATGTAAGAAGAGTCTGATGCTATTTAAAGGAATATAATATAATTATAGCAGCCTACAATATACATTTTGCAATGCCTGGCACTCAGCAGGAAAATACCAGGCATGCAAAGAAGAAAAGTAAGGTCAATCCATAATCAGAAAATAAAACCAACAGAAATCAAACAATAGAAGCAGACCAAAATTGTCAGAATTAGTAGAAAAGGTTTTTTGTTTTGTTTTGTTTTGTTTTATTTTGGTACTGGGGTTTGGACATAGGGGTGCTTTAGTCCTTTTTACTCTTTGAGACAGGGTCTTGCTAAGTTGCTGAGGCCAGCCTTGAACATTGGTTGGGATTACAGGCATGTACCATTGTGTCTGGTGACCAGAATCTTTAGTATGATCAAGTACATAAAACAGAGGCCAGGTATGGCCTACAGACCAAATTTGGCTCACTGTTTTGTGGTTTTATGGAACACAGCCAAGCTCATTCATTTACATATATATCTAACCTTTTTCCTATGGTGCTACAGTAGCAAATTTGAATAGTTGTGCCAAAGACTCCAAACTCCTATTAGATATTTATTATCAGGTTTTTTTACTCTAAGTTTGCTGGCATAAAGGAAAACTTGAAAATGATGAGGAAGGAAATGGAAGATATAAAAGAAATGACCCCAGGGTATAGAGGGTGTAGCTCAGCGGTAGAGTTGCTTGCACAGTATTGCTCAAGGCCCTGGCTTTGATCCCCAACATTGCAAAACAAACAGAAATATCCCAGACGAAAAAGTAACAATACTGCCAGGTGAGGTGATGCATATCTGTAATCCCAGTGGCTCTGGAGGCTGAGGCAGGAGGATCGCAAATTCACTGCCAGCCTCAGCAAAAGTAAGGTGCTAAGCAACTCAGTCAGACCTTCTAAATAAAAAACAAAATAGGCAAAATAGGTTGGGGATGTGGCTCAGTGGTCAAGTGTGAGCTCAGTGAGCTCAGTCCCCAGTACCACACCCTCAAAAGAAAAAGAAAAACCCAAAACTAACAACCCTCCACCCCATGCCAACAGATGGAACATACAGTATTTGAAAAGTACATATGGAATTCACATAAAGATGAATCTGATATCTCCTGTTTTCAAAGCTGATCATGGGACTCAAGAGGCTGACTTCTTTGACAGTGACAGGGAATGAAGAAAGGAAGAAGTGCTGTTGGGATTCCACCTGGGTTAAAGCCTTGCTTTGTTCCTTGGGAGTAGGCCTATGGAGTTGATGGCATGGCTGAGGGTGGAAGCCCTGGTTCATTTTTTTTTTTTTTTCTTGTGGCACTGGGGATTCTACCCAGGGCTTGCTCATGCTAAGTAAGTGCTCTACCACTGAGCTACGTCTCTTCTATACCCTATCCTACCCTGTCTTTACAGGGTCTTGCTAAATTGCTCATTGCTGGGTTTCTGCTCTCGTGACTAAAAGGCTCAGGGGTCACTCCAGTTGAACTGGGCTAACTGGGCTGAGCAAAATAACCACACAAGAGACACAAGTACCTTTGTCTTTGGGGTTGCTGTGACAGCTCCTCTGACCTTAAGGGTCCGCAGGAAGAGAGAGAGCAAGAGCACGCGCTGACCCCTTTTATTGAGGGAAGCTATTCAAATGAGGCAAGGGGTCAGGTTTCAGGGGGCTGAGTATCTTTATGATGTCCACTGTCAGCAGGTTGAATGACACCTGAGTAGGCCACACCCAAGGGCACAGTAAGAGAAGGGGACACACACAAGGCACTTCCATGGAAGATTCTATACTAAACAGGGCAAGGGGTTATATTACAAAGGAACACGTGAGCGTAGCTTCATCCATAGGGCTGTAGCAAGACACACCCATGCACTGACCCTCGAACCCAAGAAGGGTGGGGAAAGCTCTGCCACATTTCTGAGACTGAGCACCTCAGCACCCAGCCAGGGAGTGTGACTCAGTCACATGCAAGGTTGGTCCCCCACAGCCCATGTTGGCCTCTAACTTGTGATCCTCCTGCCTCAGCCTCCGGAGTAGTGGGATTACAGCATGCTCCACTGTGTCTGGCTCTAATATATCATAGGATATGTTGTAAACTCTAGTTATGCTACTGTGCTACAGAACACCAGAACTAACTCGTCCTCACTGCATTCTGGTACCAATTATTTGACTTCCCTATCCCTGCCCCTCTCCCTTTTCTGGTCTTTTTACTCTTTTCTTTGATGAGATTGACTATTTTAGCTTTCACAAGTGAGTAGAACCATTGGAGTTTAGTTTTCTGTCACTGCAACAAATTACCTGAGATAAACAACTTAAAACAAGGAAGGGTTTTTCGCGGGGGACTGAGGCTCATAGCTTCAGAGCTTTCAGTCCATGGTCACTCGGTGTTTTTGCTTTGGGCCTGTGGTGGCACAGTACATCACAGCTAGCACACATGACAGAAGTCTGTTTGCCACACGGCAGTTGGGAAGTGAAAAGGGGCTGGGGTTCCAATATCCCAAGGGGTTCAAGGACACGTTCTCGATAACCTAGCTTTCCTCCAGTATGACCCATTTAAAGGTTCCACCATCTCCCAATAGTGCCACAGCCTGGTCACCAAGCCTTTAACACATGGCCTTTGGGAGACATTTAAGATCCAAATTAACTGGGTGTGGAGGTGACACCTGTAATCCCAGCAATTCAGGAGGCAGAGGAAGAAGGGTAGAAAGTTTGAGGCCAGCTTGGACAACTTAGCAAGACTTTACCTCAAAAGTAAAAAGGGCCGGAGATGAGGTTCATTGGTAGAGCACTCATGGGTTCAGTCCTGGTGCTGCAAATACATACATACATACATATAGAAATTAAAAATCCAAAATATTATATAGTATTTTTATTCCTATGCCTGGTTTATTTTGTTTAACATATCCTCCACTCTCATCTACATTGTTGCAAATGATAGAATTCCATTTTTTATTGCTGAATAATACTCCACTGTGCATATTTTTTCATTCATCCATTGATGGGCATCCATATGTTGGTCACTGTGAATAGTACTGCAATAAAAATGCAGTACTTTTTTTTCTTTGGGGGGGGGTACTGGGGATTGAATTCAGGGGCACTTGACCACTGAGCCATACCTCCAGCCTTGTTTTGTATTTTATTCAGAGACAGGGTCTCACTGAGTTGCTTAGTGCCTCACTATTACTGAGTCTGGCTTTTTTTTTTTTTTTTTCTTTTTGGTGGCGCTGGGGATTGAATCCAGGACTTTGTGCATACGAGGAAAGCACTCTATCATTTGAGCTATATCCACAGCCCCCGAGGTTAGCTTTGAACTTGCGATCCTCCTGTCTCAGCCTTCTAAGTCGCTGGGATTACAGACCATGTGCATGCCACCACGCCTGGTGAAGCCATCTTTTTAATAGACTAATTTCATTTCCTTTGGAAATATACTCAGTAGCTGGATTACATGGTAGATCTATTTTTAGTTTCTTGAGGTGATGCCATCCTTTTTTTTCATAATGGCTATATTAATTTACATTCCCTCCAAAAATGTATAAGAGTTCCCCTTTCTTCACATTCTCACTAGCAAAACATACATAATTTTAAATGGTCAATACCAGGGCTGGGGATATAGCTCAGTGGCAGAGTGTTTGTCTAGCATGAGAAAGGCCCTGGGTTCAGCCCTTAGTACTGTGAAAAAAACCCAAAACAACCACAAAAAAAAAAAAAGAAAGAAAAAAGAAAGAAAGAAAGGGAAATCACTGATTAAAACCACTAATTGCCAGCTAAGTGACTATTTTCAGGTCATCTTCATTAATGATATGCTTTTGCTAATACTTATATGACATTTACTATGAGCCAGGTACAGCACTAAGGTTGCACATGGATTTTAATCATTACAGTGCTTGCCCCCACCTGCTTCTAATTGAAGAAACTGAAGCACAAGGTGATGAAATGACATGGACAAGGTCATATACCTAGCGTGTGGGGATTCAAACTCAGGCAGTGTGAGGTCAAGACCTGACCTCTGAACTCCTGCACGGACTCCTTCGTAAAGCACCTATTCTAAAGCAGGAAATACATGGGACACTATTAGTGGATTCCAGATTTTAATAGGGCACTGAAAAACCCTGTGGAAATTTAAGTTCTTTTTTTTTTTCTTTTAGGAAACAAAAAACTGAAGAAAACACAAAATCAGATGCACAAACTTTTGCACCTATAAAAAGATTCTGCTCCTTAGTCAACTACATTTATTTAGAACCTTTAGAAACATCTCACACATGAATTTAGAAGTTTTATTTTCTAACTCCAATCAGTGATATCATCACTATAGTTAAATGACCCAAATGATGAGGCTGGAGCAACATATGTGGCTCTAAGACCAATACTTTTATAAATTTCCATCTTCCTATCCTCTCACCTTGTCAGCAGATTCTGATACAAAACCAAACCAAAACAGAACAATACAAGTAAAACTTTTTGGGAAGGCAATTATTTATTAGTGATTAGAGGCATAACCAGGTTATGAGAAGGACTAGTTCCGCCAAGTTACAACAGCAACAAGTATCACAATTCCTTTAAGAGGCTTTCAATAGTGTGACCCCAAAGGATAACGTGTAAAGAAACACAACAACCACGGATTATTTAAAAATGTTTATTTAATGGCTATTCCATCAAAATTAAGCAGAATTACATTTTAAAAGAATCATGTGCATATGTATCTATCTAAGGTGCATTTTCAAGTGTCATTGGGCTTCACTTCACTTTGGCTGCCTGAGGTGTTCTTACAGACATGGTTAAAACAGAACATTCTGAGGCTGGTGGCTTCTCATGCATTGGAAGGTGAGATCCTGGATATATGAGAAATTTGAAAAGCTGTGTATCATCTTGAAAAACTCAATACCAGTCATGAAATACATTTTCAACAGAAAATTTAGGCACTCTATATTTTGGAATAGCCACAAAGTATTCCAACAAGAGTTAATGCACTTTGTGATTACACCTACTCAAAGATAATTTTCAATTAAAATCTATACTTATTTTTGTGGTACTGGGAATTGAACCCAGGGTGCTCTACCACTGAGCTACATCCCAGTCCTTTTTTTTTTTTTTTTTAAATTTTGAGATAGGGTCTCACTAAGTTGGTGAGGCTGGCCTCAAACTTGCCATCCTCCTGCCTCAGCCCCCCAAGTGGCTGGGATTACAGGTATGCACCATGGCACCCAGCAAAATCTATATTTATTAAATAAGATTTTAAATTAAAGCCCATTAAATTTTGGTAATTACTGTGAACAATTTGCAGCATTGTCTTATAGTTAAATAGTGCTGAACTACTTCTATTATTGACTCTGATACTTATCCTTCATGGTAAGTTTTTATAGAAGACCCTAGAACGTTCATTAAGAAGCATCTTCACCCTTTTCCTGCTAATATGTTAACAAGAAGGCCCATAATCAACATTATAGGGATTATATTTTCTTCTGTAGTTGCTTTCTTTGCATATCAAACTTCAGCAAAAGAGAGGCACCCTGGGGGCCAGGAAACATCAGCCAGGTGTTTCCTTCTGCTGGTTCCTAGGCTCACTTTGCTTGCTCAGTTATTAATGACAAAGCATGTAGTTCCACCTAGTTCCTACAGTCTGTGCTGTTGTGTGGGCTGGTATGGAGGTAAAGGGAGGATAATCCAACTAGTCATTGTCCTTTGCACAAGGCCAAGGCCACCCAGAGCTCATCTGACTTGAGGCAAAGCTTGGTGACCTCTGGGGCTTCTACCTCCTCATGTGAAGACTGAGGGGTGTGGATGATGCTGCCTGAGACACCATTAACTCCAGATGAACTTCACAGACTAGAACCTGTTAGCATTGTTAGAACTCAGAACATGGAGGTTAATTGTTCTTGTCAAGAAGGAGCACTTGCTCAGTGGTGTGCACTTTTGTAGCTCAGAAAGCAATTAGAAAGCCTTTCAGAATCTTTAGGAGATTACAGTCTGCAAATTGACTCATCAAAATCACCAATGACTAACATGTAAAGTTTCACCCAGAGAAATGAATTTGAGACTTAGTTGACTATAAGTCATCTAGAAGAGAGTATAGTAATTTCCCTTTGGAGAATATGGGTCTTTCATCATGGGGGAATTAATTTCACTGCTAATGTTTGCTGGCTTACTTGAAGAGACAATTAGCACAAGTAAATCATGAGTGAGATGACAAGTGGCTTAGCATTTGCTTCTGTTCATCACATGAGATCTGAGCTGCTATTAGGCATCTGTCTGAACAGGGCGGGGGGAGAGAAGGGGTAAGGAACAGGAGGCTGTTAACTCCAATTTCGGCAAATATAATCAGAACCAGTTACTTCTAATTGGCAAACATTGATGGTACAGGCAAAACAGAAAAGACTTGTTCATTCAGACTTTAGAAATTAACTTCACCAGAGGTGACAGAAGCTGGGGAAAAATCAGGCAGATGACTGTTGGTTTGGGAAAAATCACTTGGAACCTCAGCCTGTCTCCTGAGCAGAGAGAACGAGATGGTAAGAACATTGTAAATTTTACTTGAGATGGCCTTTTATCTTCACCCTGAACTTCATCTTCCTATGGATATTCTAAACAACAGGATCTGTCTTGTGATCAGGGCCTGTGGCTCACGACAGCACAGTTAAGGTTACAGTCCCTCTCTGGTGTTTTAGAATGGCGACAGCTTGCTCATGAGTGACACCTTCCAGGGTCTCACCATTAACAGCTAAAATCTGATCACCTCGCTTTAATCGACCGTCATCTGCAGCTGCTCCCTACAAACAAAAAACATTCCAATTTAATCCAGAGTGAAATGGTTTAATATTACATTAATATTAAAACCTCTAACTTGTATTTGTGTGAAGGAGTAACTTAAAAAACTAAAGTTTTTTTTTTTCTAGGCAATATTTTAAATTAAGAAAAATGGGGGCTGGGAATATAGCTCAGTTGGTAGAGTGCTTGCCTAGCATGCACAAGGCCCTGGGTTCAATCCCCAGTACCACCAGAAAAAAAAGAAATGTAGGATATATTGTTTGAATAATAGTGGGTGTATAGAAACTGTAGCTATGAATCATCTAAATAACATACCAATAGAAATGTACTGACACTTACATTCCCTTTAATAGAAGTAGAACCTTATTTCAATACTCAGCATTAAATGTGATTGGATGTCATATCATGTCATATTCATGGAAATGTAATATACAAGAGAAGGCAGATAAAATTGAGTCTGGTGTTAGTCTTATTGCCAATACCATCTTCATGTAAGGTTCCCATTGCGTTATTAAGCCATCAGAACTGTCATCTGTCAAAAGCAAGTGTAGCCTTTAAATGGATGAATTGCATGGTATGTGAATTATACCCCAATAAAGCTGTTATAGATATAAAAGTGTGGCATCTGTAAAACTTTGTAATCTATTCAAAAGCTTCAACTTCATATTTGATCATCTAAATAGGTTTTCAAATGACTACTTTTATTACATATCAGTCATGCCTGGCTCTTCAAAATGGAACAAAGAACAAAGCAAGTGAAACACGGATTTTTTTTTTTCATTCTAAAACTGAGTATCTAAAAATGCTGTGATATTACTAGAAATGTTCTGCATTAGAGTAAGGGAATAAATGACCTAGAAAATAATTTATAGGAGGCTTTCTCTATCTGTTGGGATAACTATTAAAGTTCCTTGAAAATCAGGGCCAAAAGTCCTCTACTGGAGGCCAAAGTGCTGGGGAAACAAGGGCCACAGGCACCGAGCCCTGGCCAGAGTCCATCAGAAACTGAGCCAGGATGCTCTTGTGCTCCACGGCAGCATGGAGGGCCAGTGGTGTTCAGGCAATTTCCTAGAACTTCTAAACAACAAAAAGGGTAGAAAATTCTTGTATGAATTGTACAGTAAAGAATATTCAAGGGGCTGGGGATGTGGCTCAAGTGGTAGCGCGCTCGCCTGGCATGCGTGCGGCCCGGGTTCGATCCTCAGCACCACATAC